TGGATATCGTGGGTCCACTACCACAAGCCAAAGGAAAGGTACGGTTTTTACTAGTACTAACCGATTATTTTACCAAGTGGGGTAGAAGCAGGTGCCTTCAAACAGGTGTGGGATAAAGAAGTCAGGGTCTTCATTTGGCAAAACATCATAAGCCGGTTTTGAGTTCCAAAAGAAACCCTGTGTGATAACGGCCCGCAATTCATAGGTGTGAAAATCATGGAATTCTTTCAGAGTTGGCAGATTAAAAGGATAACTTCAACACCTTATCATCCTGTGGCTAATGGACAAGCTGAATCAACGAACAAGGTTATTATTACTAACTTGAAGAAAAGATTAAAAGAGTCAAAAGATAAGTGGTCAGAAGTGTTACCAGGAGTCTTATGGGCTTACCGAACGACAGCAAAAACAGGTACGGGAGAGACTCCATTCTCACTTGTGTATGGTGCTGAAGCCTTAATTCCAGTTGAAATAGAAGAACCAAGTACGAGGTACACCCAAGAAACGAAGAATCAAATAAGGAAGAGATGCGAGTAAATCTCGATTTGCTTGAAGAAAGGAGAGAAACAACTCTAATAAGGATGGCAGCGCAGAAGCAAATTATTGATCGATATTACAATCGGAAAGCTCATCTTAGGTACTTCAAGATTGGGGACTTCATACTCAAAAAGTTTTTCAATCATCAAAAGAGGCCAATGCAGGAAAATTGAGCCCAAATTGGGAATGACCTTACAGGATTCGAGGTATTGCTGGAAAAGGCGCATATGAGTTAGAAACAATGGACGGCAAAGTATTCCCATCAAATTGGAATGCTGTTCCTTTGAAGAATATTACTTCTAAAAAGGAAAACCCCCGGTCAGGTATCGTTTATACAAGGTTTATAATTTATTCTTTTTTAATTATACTAACCATTTTAGATGATAGGCACAAAGTTAGCCCACACCAAATGATGATTTTAGACCTAAAAGACACGCGGGATGCAAAATTATCCCCGGTCTAGGTTACAACCTTTCTGATGGAAATAAAAAGGGTTAAGCAGTCATCATCTTAAATTATACCTCTGAGTCCTGTGTGTATTTTCCTTTTTAGGAAATGGACCAAATGGAGGGAATAATCAAGTGCTCAAGATTTCATACTTCAAAGTTCTAACACTTGGGGAACTATAGGTAGCAGGCAAAGAAGACAACAAGTCAAAGAAGAAAGAAGGCTAAAAGTCAGTTCAAGCCTGGATCGACCCAAAAATCAAAAGTCAAGAGCCAAGAAAACAAGTCTGAATCAAAAACCTTTTGTACTAAGCTTTATTAAAGTTTAAACTCGCGGACATAAATTATAAGATCCTACGAGTACTAAGGTTAAACGAAATGTTTAGTTATGGGTTGTAAAATATACCCCAGAATTTTGTAAAATCTATTATAAAGAAAACATTTATGAAAGAGTTGTAGATGTTGTACAAAAAGTTACTTGAATACATGTAAAGTGTTATATAATTTGAAAGTTCAAAATACAAAACTTCCTCAAATTATTCACGAGATTTCTTTGAAATATGTATTTTCCTACTTTTTTCATATGTTTACACCAATATGAATTTGAGACGTCTTCTTCATTAGTGTCGTTTATAAAAGGGCCCTCTTTGATAAAAAATCGTGTCTATTCGAAAAACATGAAATACTAAAGCATTTTTAACTGTAAATTAAAGAGTAGAACATAAACTCAAACGAAATATTATATATATTAAACTTGGCCAAAACTAAGTATGAACTTAGTTAAAACCAAGGAATTTTGATAATAAACCCCAAAACATACCAGGGGTAAAAACTTGTCAACTGTTCCAAACATGAAAAAAAAGGAAACAAACTTCCCAACTAAAAGTTCACAGAACACTATGGGGCAGGATCTAAAGCAGTTCTATCAGCAGCAAAAGAGGCATAATTCAATGTGGCATCATCAGCAACGGGAAAAGACACAACTTGAGCAGAAGAGGTTTGGACATCAACTTCACCAGGAGTAAGTTCATCACCTTCGGGAACGTCGACCTCAGGTGGGGAAATGTTCTGACATTGCTGAGTTTTTTCAATAGTTTCCTTTGCTTTTGCAATCTCAGCAGTCAAGTCAAAGCCGTCCTGGCTAGCCTCCATCAAAGTCTCAAGACGCGTATTCAAAAAGCTCAACTTACATCAAGAGTTGCTTTATCTTCAAGGGCCTCGTAATCTTTTTTCCATTGCTCAACTTCAGCCTCCAACTCTTCCCTCTCAGCCAAAGAAGCATCATAAGAAGCCTTCAAAGGGGCGAATGATCTCCAAGAACTGGACCTTGTCTGAAGATGCACGGAGGTCTTCTTGAGCATGAGTGAGCATTTGAACAAGCTCCCCGGCGTAATCCTCCTTCTAATTAAGCAAGTCTTTCAAACCCCTAATTTCTTCGGTAGCTTTAGAAAGCTACTCCGCAAATGAAGACTCAAGAATGTCTTTGTCTTTGCCCACTTGACTAGAAGAGGCTTTTTCAATTTTCAATTCTAATGCCATCACTTGTACTTCCTGCTCCAAAGCACATTTCTCCTCATCCAAAACTTCTTTTTCCAACTAAAGACTCTCATACTATTCCCTCCAGTTATCTACTTCCGTACAATAATCATTGACTAGCTGCTCGGTATTGACAATTCTCTTCATAAGCTTCGTGCCTATCAAATTGATCTACACAAGAAAGGAAAGAAGTGATTATCAAAAAAAGATAAAAATCACGAGGGGAGTAAAAAATGTTAAGGCTTATACCTTCAAAGATGAATGAACAATATCATTCATCCATGTTAATGAACTATGGCTTTCCAACTTGGACTTCTCAACTGGGCCAATTAAAGGTTTTAGCCATACATCGGCTTAGCCAGACTTTTTCAAAAGATTACCATCCTCGGGGACTTCAATGGTAGTTTTTTTATCCTATTGGTACTGGAAGAACCAACTTCAACACGAGAAGTGGTAGCAGTAGGGACAGTTGAGGAAGTGAAACCACGGGAGGAGCAGTAGCATCAGCGACGGGTGCAAAAACTTGAGGACCAGTAGGAGCGGACATTGGGAAAGAGGCAAGAGGAGCTTCTTCAGAAACAAAGTCAAAATCTTCATTATCAAACCTACGGGAGAACAATTGATCAGTAGAGTCGCGAGGTGCAACATTCATCTCCTCATCAGAGCTCGTTAAAACAACACTTTCAGGCTCATTCACGGGAACTGAACTTGGAGGAGGGGTGACTTCATCATCCGAAATAACGCGCCTTCTAGCCCGAGGCATGTGCACTAAGGAATCCTCTACTCGTTCCTCTTCACCATTAGAGCCATGAGCTCTCTCAGCTTTTTTCTTTGATGAGGAATTTAAAATCATTTCTTGAGAAAGAGAAAAAGAAAGTCTTGATGAAGTAATAAACGCGGCACTGACACCTCGAATGAGAAATCCTAACAAAGGAAAAAGTTAGAAATCCCCAAGTAAATACGAAAGAAAGAAAAAAATTAATTAAATGAAAAGATACCATGAGTTTTGACTTTCCAGCCAACCTATGAGAAAGGTATTTCCAAGATCTTCTTTCCATGGGGGCAACTGATAACATCTTCTCTACCCAAACACGGAAGTCTGGTATTTCATCAAAACTTCCATGACTGCTAAAAAGAGAAAAAAACGTACATGAGATAGTCAATTTCTTCCTCTTTCGTAAAAGAAGAAAAATATGAAAAAGAACTTACGTGCAAAATTCTACTTCTCTGGAAAAGGCATGTTCTCTTCACCCACTAAACCACTTGTGGGAGCAGCGAGACGGGCATACCAGTGACGGTGCTTATAATCTTCAGGGCTAACCAAAACCCTTTTGCTCCTGGCAGCGAGAGTGAAAACCCCTGAGCTGAACAACTTAAGGGAATATAGATGAAGCAAGTGTTGAGAAGTGAAGGGTAAAGAGGCCAAATTAGATAAGTATCGTAAACATCCAATGATTCTCCATACAATAGGACCAATCTGTCCTAGGCAAACGTTGAAGAAGCGACGAAATACTATGATAACTGGGCCGATAAGGGGTCTAAAACCTAAAGTAAAAGGATATGTGTAAACGAAAGAATAACCAGACAGAAACAAAGTTATCCCTTGGTTTGGACCAGGAATTAAAATTGGAAAATCAGGCTTTCAGTAGCATCTCTTCGCACAAGAGAAATCAAACCATTAGTAATCTGAGAAGGATAGACATCAGCATGATCGTGGGAAGTCATAGAAGTAACTTGGTTCCTAATTAATTCACGTTCAGTGGAGAAAGAAAATTCCGCAGGGATAATTTCATCTACTGTTGGTTCTCGAAGAGGTTCACCTGATTCCCTATTTTTGGCAGAAGATCTATGGGTTGAAGAAGCCCTAGTCCTAGATGAAACAATATTGGGTTGAGAAGTAGAACCACAGATAGATAAAGACCCTAAGCTACGTAGCCTACCGCCTCTTCTACTCCTAACAGGAGTAGTTGAAGGAGAAAGTTCATCTACAATAATTGTTCTACGAGGATTGGGGTTTGGTGAAGGCATGGATGCAAGAAAGTAATATGAACTGAAGAATAAGAACAATTAGAGGAGAAGGATATTGTAGATTGAAGGTTTTTGTGAAACTAAAGGCACATGGGGTATTTATAAGAAGGAGCAACTGCAATGTAAAGTGAGTCATGATGGAAACGTCAATGAAGTAGTCACTTCTAGACTGACGCAGCCGCAAGAAAGCCCTAAAAACGCTAAAGAGTCGCAGACCCAATCGGCGGAGGCCACGTGGCACATGCATTAAATGGAAGTGACATACGATGCGTTGGTTCTAAAGAAGACATAATTATACATGGGAAACAGCGGCAAAAATTCTCGCCATAAATACATACCACTTCCCAAATATTCAATTGCATAATATTCGGCAAGTGGGGGGACTATCTGTATTAGTAGAAAATAAATATGACACGTGGAATTATGTGTGGCTAACAAGACATGATACGTGAATCGCTAAGAAGACGACAGCTGGAATACTGCAGTAGAAGATGCACGAGATACAAGAGGCACGGGCAAATCACTCACGGGATGAAGGGATGCAGTTGCTCGTGTCTAAATCATTCAGTAAATACGGGTTGAATGAATCAAGACAGTAAGAAGGGGAATATTCACGAACCTCTAATTAATAAGGAATAAGAATTGGAACCGTTATAAAATCTCCACAAACAGTTACGATTTTCAATTATAACGGATCATTAGTGTCATTAATGTCATAATTATTCGGTCATAAAAAGGACGAAACTTTATATTTGTAAACCCCTATAAAAGGGAAGAGAATTTCATTTTTAAGGATCATCTGAGACAATACTGAAATATATTCACTTTACTTTTCTGCTTTTCTCTATATTGACTTTGCAATCAGTTATTTTCTTACTTATTCTTGTTCTTTTCCTTTCATATAATTGAGAAAGTACGAAATTTTTTGGTTATCAGTAACCCGAGTTCTTCTAAAAATAGGCTTTGACCGAAATACACATTTTTTGGTTAAACAATTGTGCTTCCATGAATGTCAATTTTATGGTCTGGTGTCTATATTATAGCATTATTTTAAGTATTAGAGCGGCTAAAAATATACATTTCTCATTGTTAACTATTCTATGTCTGTCAGCAATCTATATTAATGCTTTGTCTTGATAGAGCATCCTAGAGAAAACTTGTATCAATACGAAAAAAGCTACTCCATTACTACATATAACATTAAAAAAGGGGAAATCTTCATGAAGCACTACAGCTAAGAGCTTAATTACCATACATAACTGTAGTTTGCCTAATTATCATTCATAGCTACTGTTCAAGTTGCCAACTTATATCACTGGTATTCAGATGCGCAACAAATACAACCAAGGCGAAATACAAGGGTGTATATAAAGGATACAATATGTATCGATTGTATTCGTTTGCGCAACGAATACAACCAAGGCGAAACACAGAAATACAGAAAAATAGAATGCTTTCATTGAGAGTTGAACTCAAGACCTTTGCTTACTAAGCGAGGGCTCTAACCAATTCAGTTCAAAACAATTGATCTCTTGTTTGAGTACTACAAGTGAAATTGCTATAAAAATTTAAATATAGCCACGAATGATAATTTTCTAAAATTATAGCTACAAATGGTAAATATATTCATTGTGACGCATAATTTTTCATTTAAAAAAGTAACCCGCTGTGCTTGGGCCCCACTCCACGCGGCCTTACCTCAACTAGTGTGTGTGCGTGTATATATATATATAAAACAGATTTTATACAGTACGTACTAGAAATCACCCCTTTCCTAATCACGGATTCATGATGGCCATCCAAAGACCAAGTCGTCCACTATTCAGTCAACCCCCAATTGTCCAATACCAGGTTGCCAGGGTTTGAGGTTTGTTTGGGAAAAGGACAAAGAAATTGTGACAAAAGGACAAAACTGAGAAAAATAAAACATTAATATTGAACACGGAAACTGATCCAATTAGCTTCACCTGAAAGATGACGGAATGGAAGGAACCAGGAAGACAGGAAATCAGAAAAGGTACAATCAAAATTTTATGTCAATATAAAGTGCTTACTATGACTCTTCTTCGGCGTAAAGTTTTGAAATTTCTGCTAAATTATGATGACACAAGTCTCCCTATTAAATATTAATTTAGTAAATCCATTAAATATTAATATTGATCCTAAAGAGGTAATTACTCTATCAATTTGGACAATCAAACATACTCTAATATTCCTAATGGTGGCAAGTTGCCGTTGCGCCAGCTGAGGGACTCGACCATCCAACATAGTTTTCGAAATGCAATATAATCATCTTAGAATAAAAATAAATGGTAAAGCTAGCCAAAGAGATATGCCACCTCACTCTTTTTTTTCCCAACTTTATATACATATATAGATTGTTGAGATCGTCGTGATTGATTAGCTGTTAGTGAGAAGAAAGGGAATCTGTGAAATTGAGCATCCAAGTTTCCAGACTCAGAGCTCTTCTATTTGTATAAAGGATAGTTGGTCCGGATCTTTACAATTGGGCCTTGGGCCAAAGCACAAAGAACGGGTAATTGGGATACCTATTAATACAAAGGTTGAACTGCACAAATATACAATCGAATAATAAAATAAATCTGACTGTGTACAAAAGAAATATCTCTACTATCCAACAATCCCCCCCCCCCCCCCCCCCCCGCAAATTGAAGGGGGAAAGCACCTTCAACTTGGAGAGAGCCATGATGCGCCAACCCATTGAGGGGCTTGGTCAAGATATCAGCCAATTGATTGGCACTGCTAACAGGGATAAGGCAATGAGACCTTCTGATAATTTGCCCCTAACAAAGTGACAATCAACCCAGATATGCTTTGTGCGCTCGTGAAACACAGGATTACAAGCAATATGCTGAGCTGATTGGTTGTCACAGAATACAGAAACAGGAGTCACACCAACAACACCCAAATTTTCCAACAGGCGAGTGAGCCATGTTAATTCTGCAACTAGTTTACTCAACGCACGATATTCCGCTTCAGCACTACTAAGAGAAACAACAGATTGTTTCTTAGACTTCCACGAGACAAGACTCCCACCAAAGAACACAAAGAAACCAGTCACTGATTTGCGAGAATATGGGCAAGTAGCCCAATCACTGTCCAAATAGCCATGTAAAGCAAAATCAGAAGATTTATTAAAAAGAATACCATAATCAGATGTCCCTTTGAGATAGCGCAGCAGATGTAAAGCAGCAGAATAATGAGGAACATGAGGATATTAGAGAAACTGACTGAGATGCTGGACAGCAAAGCTCAGGTCAAGCCTACTATGAGTTAAGAAATTGAACTTGCCAATAAGGCTCCAATACAGTTCTGGATTTGGAAGCAAGTCACCATCAGCAGCTTGTAATTTCAAAGTAAGGTCAAGAGGAGAGACAACTGGAGATACCTCATAACACTTATATTCAGCCAAGAGATCCAAAATAAACTTTCTTTGATTTAACAACAAACCAGCAGGAGTAGGAGATACCTCAATGCCTAAAACATAGTACAAGATGCCCAAATCCTTTATCTTAAATTGTTCATCGAGATAGGACTTTAAAGCATAAATTTCTGATACATCATTACCTGTTAGAATTATGTCATCTACATACACTGCCAAAATAACCATAGACTCCCCTGATCTCTTTATGAATAGATTGTAGTCATTAAGAGAATGAACAAACCTCTTTGCACACAATGCGCTTGAAAGTTTAGCATACCATTGTCTTGAGGCCTATTTGAGCCCATAAATTGACTTTTGAATTTTGCAAATAAAAGGCTGCCCAGAACTAGAAGAGGATTCCACAGTGAACCCTTGACGCAACTTCATATAGACTTCCTCATCCAAATCCATGGAGGAAGGAATTGTTTACATCTAGCTGAAAAAGTGGCCATTATTTCCTAACAGCTAAGGCAATGAGACATTTAACAGTGGTCATTTTTACCACAGGGGAGAAAATTTCCTTTTAATACGCCCAGCTATCTGAGTATCACCTCTAACTACTAGTCTAGCTTATATCTTTCTATAGAACCATCAGCTCTAAACTTAATCTTATATACCCACTTACTCCCAGTGGCCTTCTTGCCAACAGGGAGAGGAACTATACAGACCATGTCTGATTGCCTTCAAGAGACTCAAATTCTTTCCTTATTGCCTCTTGCCACTCAGGCACCAAAGCAACCCGAGAATAGGAGTAAGGCTTAGAAAATACTGTTTGTGCCTCAGGATGATTAAAGGAAGAACTGGACCCATGGCCTTGGAGAAAAGATGCACAAACAGAAGAGAAAATATAATCATTAAGGTAAGAAGGAGCAACATGGGTTCTGGTAGATTTTCTCAAACCATCAGAAGGTGAAACGGGGAAAATAGGAGTAAGGACAAGACGTGAATTGACAAAAGAATGAGGGTCAGAGGTCATGGAAGAAGAGGAAGGAGAACAAGTAACATTGGCAGATTTTTTAGAAGGAGATGCAGATACTGGAGAAGAAGGTTCATGAGGAACATGAATGGGAGAAATCGATGGTGAAGTAGAAGAAGAAGGAGAAGGAGGAACAATGGAGTCATAAACAAAATTTGTAGGAGAAGAAGTGGAAGAAGAACCAACAGAAAAGATGACAGCAAAAGGAAACACTAATTCATGACCAAGCTTATTGCAATAACTATAGACAACACTAGGCCTCCTTGGATCAAAGTTGGTTTTAGGCTGGAAATTCTTCTGAAAAGGCTTTTGAAAAGATCTTTGAGACCCGCAGAGAAGGAAGCATATTCTGAGCTAAATTGAGAAGGAGGAGGCTGAATTTCTCTTTGTGGTTCATCAGTCACCAGAAGAGGATAAGCCTTGTTGATCGTAGGGAAAGGACTCATTATAAGTAAATTGCTTCATTAGCATAAACTTCATTCAGGCCCATTAAAAATTGGTGCAATTTCTGGGCCTCTTCACGTTTTTTAATATCTAGCTAACCACCTGTCGCGCCCCCTTTTTCTCGCGAAATCGGGTTTATGACATTTGAGAGGACAACTCGTTCCCTTTTGGGAATTGGGTTTAATAGAATTGAAGAGTCGCCACCTAATGATTTAAGTGCATTAGGACACTTTTAGAAGAGCTTGATTTTGGATAACCAGAGATAGGGAAGGGCTTGAAATTATTCCAAGGGGAAGGTGTTAGGCACCCCTCAGAATCCACTAGTGTGGTTCCTGGCCAAGCTATTGTTGTGACTTAAGGCACAAATAACATATATACAAGTAGGACTTCAAATAAGAGGGGATTTTTCACATAAAGGTTAGAAATAAACAAAGTTGGAAAGCATTAAAGAGAGTTGATTTTCTTAAAAGAAATGTTTTAAAAGATTTAAAAGAGACAAAGAAACAAAGGGAAGGAGGGGTCCTAGGTTTATTAATAATATGGATCACCCCACACAACATCCGGTAATCACTCTTACGCGTGATGTTATCGCGTGGTCATCATATCCATATCTACCCTTTCCCACCCCTTTAAAGTATTAAAGCGCGGAATGGTCTCGTTTACTTATTGCATGCTACTACCCGCCCCAATTCTATCAGTCCCGGAGGCATTTAGGACTACTAATCCTAAAGGGAAGGGATGTTGGGATTTCATAGTTTCAAAGGTAAAAATACTAAGGCGACAAGCAAGAACACATATAACAAGTATGGGGAAAGCATATAAACAAATAAGGCTCAAACATGCCTCCTTAGATCAAAGAAAAGCATATAGTTTAGCATGTCTTGCACGTACTGATTAAGATTTTATTAAACTTATAAGCTAGGGCAGGCTGATTTATCACATATTTCCAGATAAAAAGTCTGAATTAGGCTTGCTTGTTGGTCATAATTGATAAAGACTGATGCAGTTTAAAACTTTACCCTAAGGCTTGCCTAGGTATGGGACAAGAGCTCCTATAGACATGATATCTACTGATTTCAGAAAAGAATAAAATAGATTGAATATATACTGATTAAGAGGGGTTACCAGATTATTAAAGAAAAGCAAACTTTAGCAAAAGTTACAGGTTCTGCAAGCATTATTAGTGGTTTTAGACTCATAAGCGAGTGCAAACGTTTCAGACTTGGTTGATAGTTCCTATAGGCATGCTTTCTACGCACTGTTGATTTTAAACACTTTTATAGATATGAAAAAAATGCAGAAAACGTACAACATGATATTCTAGGTACTACATTTTATTACGAACATGACATCTGATTACATTTTTGGTTATTAGGACCTATAGACAAGTTTGCGTAGTGAAAAGCGGGTATGCAAGAATCAGAAGGGACCTATAGGCATATTTTCTACATGCGTGTGCAGAAGCTATAGACATAATATCTACATGAAAGTGCAGGATCCCTATAGTCATGGCATCTAAATGAGAATACTGAAGTTCTTATAGACATGGTAACTAAATGAGAATGCAGAAACGGTTATAGGCATGAAAAATGCAAAAATCTTATAGGCATGGTAGCTATATGAAAATGCAGAAATCTTATAGGCATGGTAGCTATATGAAAAAAGCTAAAATTAGAGATTCCTATAGGCAAGTTATCTACCCCTTTTTACATGCATGGTTACCTCTCCCTTTTCACTAACCATCCCCGAAAGTTTATTACAAAGTTATTACAGTCCAAAGAAAATAAAGAAAATACATTAGAAATTAAAAATTACAACCGAGGAGAGCCTGATTCAAACTTCCTGTCTGAAGTATGAAGTAAACCAACTCCAAAGATCAGATTTCAAAGCCTTTCTCTTATTTGGGGTGTGTCAGAGTTCCCTAAGAGCCTCACATGAACTCCGGGCAGTGCTTACACCCCAAGTACATTACCAGACTAAGACATAGTGCAGTGTGGAAAAGCCAGCCCTCAAGTGTCCAAGTTCAGAGGGAACTCAGGGTCCCAAGGCAAGGCTCACAGGAGGGGGGCAGAACCTAGGAACTAAGAGAGAGTGCAAGTGCAGGATTCTGAAAGGGGAAAGGGGAAAAGAAAACAGTTCACATTGATACACATAGGGGTATGGGGAATGGGGAGATAGTAAAGGAAAAGCAACGGCAGGCTGGTGGGGCATACTCAGCAATGAGGAATGCTGGCCTACCCCATAAGCCCGTTAGAATACATTGTTTAGAAGTTAGGATCCTTTAAGGGATCAAGTTCAAACCATAGACAATAACCTGCATATTTCCATGTTTAAAACTGTAACTCAAAGCACACAAAGGGAATAGGGAGGAGGGGTTCATAACAGAAACAAGCAAAAGAAAACAACATGCTATTTTAAGTATTTAAATCTGCAGAAGTAATAAAGTAGACATAGATGTAGAAAGCTGTAAGTAAACACATTGTGGTGATGCTGAAAATTAAAATTAGGACATACCAGTTTCAAGGAAACAAATAGGAAAAAGCAGTAGTCTTTGTGAAAGTCAGAATGCAGACAAGAAGGGAGTGCTAGTAAGAGTTCAGAAGAGATTGTAAAGTAGTAATGGAGGATTGTTAATCGTGTCAAGTGTGAAAGAAAAGTAGTGTATTTATAGTGCAGAAAGCAGGCAGAAATAAGGTAAGAAAAATAGTTTAAAAACTGATTGTCAATCAATTACACAAGGCGTCACTTAATTAAGGGATTCAGATTCAAACGGGTAAAACCAATTAAGGAAAGAAATTAATCAAACACTTTGTTCAAAGTAGTAAATTAGGGGCAAATACATAAACGCTATTTAAGGACAAGGTCTTTGAAATACACGGTTGTATAATTTAAGGAAAGAAAATCAATTAACACCCAAGAAATCTGAGGCCAGAGATTTTGTACGAATGAACCAAGTCAGAAAGATGGGAAAGATTTTTATCTTAAGGAAAATCAGCAAACAAATCAATTAGATCTATTTAAAAGGAATTCTGAATCAATCACAAGTTTGAAAACCTGTTTTGAAGAAAGATTCATCACATATAAAAGCATACAGACACGTTAAACATAAAGGAAACTTTGTCATGCCCTTGTAAAAATCAGTAGAAAGAATACATTGTAGAAGAGTTTAGCAAAAGGTTCAACATTGTATGAAAACAAAGGTGTAAACTCAGTTTAGAGACTCAAAGTTAGTCTGACAGAGTTAAGGGTTTTGAAATGAAACCCTAGTTCAAGCAAACCATAAAGCAAGGATGAGAGGGCAGACAATTGAATCAAAATCATGTTCAGAAGTTTCAGAAAAGGACGGGCTTCTTCAACAACAGAACTTATGAAGAATATGATAGCGAAGTAACATGCAATCACAGTAGAAGGATTCAGAGAACATAACGGCAAATACTGATACGAATAGTAGAAAAAGCATGCTTGAAGAAACTTAAACAGGGCTCAGTAGAAGTCAAACAGAGAAACTTAAAAACTTAGCAGGAAAATACAGTAGAAGAACACAAGAACACCGGAAAAGTATAGCAGAAAAGCATATAGGAAAACACAGTAAGATAAACATATAAGAACATGGTAAAAATACAGTAGAGAAGTCTACGAGACCATAGTATAGGAAAACACAGTAAGAGAAGCATACAAAAGATGATACGAAAACACAACAGAGGCAAACCACGAATAACAAAGAAAAAAAATCATAAAACACTTAAACACTTTCCAGAAAATACTA